CGTATCTCATGAAGTTTTATACCGACGTTGAAATCCTTCACATTAGTTCCGGATTTAAGGATAAGTTTACGATATGTTATCACATAAGTGTGATTTTAAATTCGTTGTGGCATAGCCCGATGCATCGAGCGTCTATCGTCAATGAGAGTAATAACGGCAAGCACTTTGTCAAGTTTATCAACATATTGATGAACGACACCAGTTTGCTGCTCGAGGACGCTCAGGAATATTATTTGAAATATATACTCGAGGTGGAGGAACTTATGTCCGACACTATCACGTGGAACGCTATTTCGCAGGAGTAACAACAATCGAGAACGAAACAGTTGGTGGAGAACGAGGAAGAAGTCAGATTCTCTCTTAAATTAGCCAAGGAAATAGTTGCCATGTTTCATTATTTAACAGTCGACATTAAGGAACCGTTTCTACGACCGGAATTAGTCGGACAATTGTGTGCCATGTTGAATATCAATTTGCAACAGTTGTGCGGATCTAAGTCTGAAAATTTGACAGTGAAAAAACTGGAAAAATACGGATGGCAACCGAAGAAGTTATTCAGTCAATTGATTGATATATATTTACATCTTGACTGTGATAATTTTGCGGCTGCTTTAGCCAATGATGAAGTGAGTATCTCTTATAATATATCATATACATATATTACACATATATGTGTTTATATATATATATATAAATTCATTTTTGCAGCATTTGTTTTATAACGAGTTATTCACCGACGCTGCGAATGAATTAGAGAGATCCGGCATTAAAACTACGACGGAAATTGAGAGTTTCGTAGCTCTCGCTGAGCGTGCGGCGGTAATCGCAAGAGACAATCGCGCGCGTGGCGACGCTCCTGAGGAATTTCGGGATCCATTGATGGACACTCTTATGGAGGATCCAGTCAAGCTACCGTCTGGTATTGTTATGGACAAAGCAGTTATCATTAGACATTTACTCAACAGTGCCACGGATCCTTTCAATCGGCAGCCGCTTAGCGAAGATATGCTCACGCCAAGTAAGTACATGTACTGTTCATATTTTTTTCTTTTTTGATAAAGTCAAGTTTCTTTTAGTTTAAATATTGGTAACATTTCATAACAATGCATTTTCATATACATAAATATATTAGAAAAATATTTGATGTGTCATAGATAATATAGTTTTTGACTGTCCTTTAAAGTCTATCGTATTGAAATTTTTTAATATCTTATGCCTTATGCCGATTTTAAAATATGTATTTAAATTATTGTAAGTTTTTATCTATGTAGAAATGTATCTCAAATTAATAATTATTTTCGAAATTGCAGTGCCCGACTTGAAAGAAAGAATATCAATATGGAAACAAAAAAAAACAGTGCTAAGGTGACAAGAATTATGCACATAAAAATAAGAATATAGGGAAGGAGAGAAAAAGATAAGCATTATAAATGCTTATATATATAAAATAATGTAACACAATAAACATACAGCAATATTATGTATAATAAAAATTATATTTACTTGTGCCCCTCCGCCTCTCTTTTTTGAGGATGTTTTGGGTGTATAATAGTAGTAAAACTATCAAAATTAGAAAAAAACATTTTTCTTATGTTTATATTGTTTGGAAAATCGAATAAATAGATCTGATAAAAAAAAATTAAATATTTTGCTACAATTTTTAATAAATAACTTTTAAACAAGTAAGATCTAAATCATCAAGAATGTACCATCATGTATTAAAGAAAACACTAGGAAATACATTTACTTTCGAAATTTAAATAATGAATGTAATAATGCAAAAACGAAAATAACGTATCTTGTAAAGCATGCCAGTTTTTCCTGTATAAATTTGTTTACAAATTCGACGAACAGAAATGTGATCAAAAATATCTCTAAAAAGCAGCACAAAAATTTGAAAAGAAGAGAAAATAATTTCTTTTATATTTATAATAAAAATATCTTTCCAAAAATAGCGGAAATATAAAAGAGATAAAATTATTTTAAGTTTTTATATCTTTTAAAATTATTGTATATGTGTGCTTAGATGTGCGCTCGCTTCTCATATATTTAGAAAAATACTAAATACGGTATAATTCACGATATAATTCTAATGAATTTCTAAATTTATAGGATCTATAATAAAAAATCCGCACTTTCCTCGTAATTCAAAAAAAAAAATAAATTTGAATTCTTTTAATTGTCTGTTTGTAGAATAAGTCGACAAAGTTAATAGGGAAGAAACTGAGAAACATCCTGCATTAAATTATCGGTTCTAGAAAATGCAAATTTTCATTCGTGAATATGTTTGCTGTATATTGTATTATACATTTGAGCCTTGCATTATATTTAATGGATATATATTTATTGGACATAATTTGCAAGAAAATATAGATGCAAATAATCTTTGTAAATTATATCATAAATGAATGATTTAATTAAATCAAAGAAAACAGTGCAATATATATATGTACATATACACTTTATATTTTTTACTTTAATGAATCATTTGTTATAACGCGCCAGTAGCTCAACGACAAAGCGCAAAAATGAATGCGAACCATATGACAAACGAAGAAAGGTCCTTCAGAGGCTTAACTGTAATTAATTTAAATTGTAATATGTTATCAGTGCAAGAAAAATTTTTTAATTAAGAGAGAATATTTTATAAAAAAGATCAAATAAAATAACATACGAGCAACGATACGAGATTATCTGTATATTCTATGCCTGCATGTTGATTGTCGATAATGAGGAATTCTGTAGCGTGGTCGATACAATCGTCATTATTTAAAATTTTCGTTCGCCAAACCGGATCGATTGTAGGAAAGAGATGCAGGAATTGACAGGAATTTCGTGCAATTCCGCGGAATAACTGGCGGCTCAAACGGCAAACCTACATACGCATGTGTATTTGTGTTACATTCGAAAAACATCAAATGTGCGATCATGTGTGAAATTAGCGAGTCAGGCAGGACGTGAACACGCGCGCGAGGAAGAATATCAGACGTTTGAACGAGCTGTCACGATTTTAGACATTCGCTATTACGTCCGGGATTACGCGGGGCGGGAGAGGACATGCGTCGTGAGAGATAGAGATATGTAAGGTTATTCGATTCGTTCGCTCACAATTCGTCGCGTTGTTCGACGGACGAAATCGCGAAAAAAAATGTCGCTGCTACGTCGAAATGTTATTTAAAATCGGCGCGAGCTCTGATCAGTCGCGACAAGCGATCGGCAACATGTCCTTCGCGATGCCGTGCGAAAACAACGAAAAGTGAAGATGTCACCGTTTCGCAGGAAGAAATCTGGGAGATCCTTCCCCGTGAAAGTCTGCACCCTGGATGCGGAGCTCGAATTCAATCTGGAGGTTGGTGATGTACAGTGTTTGTCACGTCGTGACCTTGTAGATTTGTTCTTGCGAATTGACGCAATTTTCTGTGCTACAGTGGAGATCGACAGGTAGGGATCTTTTCGACCTGGTGTGCCGCACGATAGGGTTGAGAGAAACGTGGTACTTTGGACTCCAGTACGAAGACTCGAAGGGTTTTATCTCTTGGCTAAAATTAGATAAGAAAGGTGATTATAATCGATTGTTGTTTTTGTTCGACATATCTGGGATGTTAAATGACATTGAACGTGTTTGTTGTAATAACACTGAACTGGTTACAGTACAGGATCAGGGTATTTCCCAGCAACCAACGACACCGTTCATGTTTCTGGCGAAATTTTATCCTGAGGACGTGGCCGAAGAACTTGTGCAAGAAGTGACTCAACATTTGTTCTTCTTACAAGTGAAGCAAGCTATACTATCTATGGACATTTATTGCCCACCGGAGGCTTCCGTGTTACTTGCTTCCTATGCTGTCCAAGCAAAGGTATCTTCTTATAATAATTTGCAAGTAAAAGTGCTCATATGATTTATGAAATTAATTTTAAATACAATAGATAAATATATTTTAAATGAATCATAGACTTGTCTCTCAGATGTTTCGAAATTTTATTTATACAGAATATATAAGATGTAGAGAATTAAGAGCATACTTGTTAAGTTATATACATTTTGGATCAAAATATCAATTGCTTAGGCGAGAGATGGATCAAGTCCAAAACTTGTAGCGTACCCATTAGATAGAATTCTATTTATAAAACAGAGAGATTTTTGTATTTAGAGATTCACTATATCATTAGATATTTCATATGTAAATATTATACTATATCAACTATGTCCTAAAATTTAAACATATTGTTAAAAAAAATTAGTTTTATATAAAGATGAATAATTAAAATAATTTATTGTAAATTGTGTCTGCGGTATAAAAAATTTTGCAATTTTTATTTTAATTATCAGTATGGTGATTACGATGAAGTTTTATATCGCCCTGGAATGCTTGCCAGCGAGGACTTGCTTCCACAGAGAGTTATAGATCAGTACCAAATGACTCCAGAAATGTGGGAGGACAGGATAAAGATTTGGTACGCCGATCATCGTGGCATGTCTCGGGACGAAGCAGAAATGGAATATCTTAAGATTACTCAAGATCTCGATATGTATGGTGTAAATTATTTTCCTATTAGTGTAAGTACCAAGATATCAGTTGATAAAGTCTGCATTGATTATTTTTATCTCAGTTTTTAAATTTACATTATGTACATTATTATTCAGAGAAAAATTTGATCCATTTTTAATATAAATTCTTGCCTTATAGAATAAGAAGGAGACAGATCTTTGGCTTGGAGTAACAGCACTGGGATTGAATATCTATGAGAAGGAAAACAAACTAGCACCGAAGACTACATTTCAATGGTCGGAAATTCGTCACATCAGCTTCGATGACAAGAAGTTTGTAATCAAAACCGTGGAGAAAACGTCACCAAACTTCGTGTTCTTCTCGCAGAAAGTTCGCATGAACAAATTGGTAAAGAAACAGTCAGATGTTGCCAGCTGGGTGAAGAATTTGATAGCTTTAGGGTTGGACGAACATAATAGTGACAAAGCTGCTCACATATTATTTGTTAAGATCCTGGACCTGTGTATTGGCAACCACGATCTGTACATGAGGAGGCGCAAACCGGACTCCAGGGAGGTTCAGCAGATGAAAGCGCAGGCCAAGGAAGAAAAATCCAGGCAAGTAAATGCATACTCTTTTGTAAAAATATTTGTTTTGATGCAAGAAATGTCTTTCGTGTTTGTATCCGAAATGATGTTTGATTAATTTATAATCTCTATTGTCCGAATTTTTTAATTAATATAATGTAATTTGAAATTTAGTAAATGCTCTGATTATATGCTTTATAAAACAATGAAAAAACATATTTTCCATAAGTTGATAATTTGATTGCTAATAGGAAAATCAATTTTTATCTTTTGGATTATAATTATGAACAATATATGTATAAGAAAAGTAGAAAAAGAAATCTAATGTAAGATAATAAACTTTAATATGCTTTTTTTCTTTATTTTTTTTTATAGCGATATGCGGTGACGATTTCTTTAATAATTGCCAAAACTTAACATGCTTTAAGTAACATGTAAATCTTAAATTGCTGCACAAATTAAAATTGTTTAATAAGTGTCTGTGTATTATATAAATATAGATTGAATAATTAGTCTTGTTTCTAGCTTGGATATTGAAGAGTTTATTAAAATACAGCTTTTGTAATCTTTCTTATGCTTAGCCACTATTATATTTCTAACAAAATATGCTCTTCTTTCTTTTGCCAATTTTATAGGAAGCGATATTTAGACATATGTGTTTTCGACATGTTGTTTTTATATATGTATATATTAAGGTTAGTAAATAATTATTTATGCAGTACTCTTACACACATATTTTAACAATCTATAATCTAAAAATTACAGAAAATAGAACTCTTTTACAGAATCTTTAGATGCTTGTATAAATAACATGTATATTATATATATGTATATATAAAGTATAAGTGTAAGATATATATTTTTTAATCACTTATATAATTATTTGTGAACTTCTTTACAAATGATTATGATATTATTAGGAGACAAATTGAGAGAAACAAATTAGCACGAGAAAAACAATTGAGAGAAGCAGCGGAGAGGGAAAAGGCTGCGATGGAGCATCGACTTTTACAATACCAAGAGGAAATACGTCTTGCAAATGAAGCTCTTGTAAGATATGATTGTATATATGTAAGGATATAAAGAATATAACAACTATAAATTAAATAAAGATATAAAATAATCTATACTATACTAAAATGATACTGTCTTTTTTTATAGAGAAGATCTGAAGAGACTGCAGATCTTTTAGCTGAGAAAAGCCGCGTAGCCGAAGAAGAAGCGATGCTTCTAAGTCAGAAAGCATCAGAAGCCGAACAAGAGATTACGCGCATACGGCTGAATAATATGAAGACTGAAGAAGAGAAGGTCCACTTAGAACGAAAGACCAGAGAGGCTGAATTATTAACAGAAAGACTGGTCCAAGAGTCGGAACGCAGAGCTGCTGAGGCGGAAAGATTAAAGGACGAGCTGTTACGTGCAAGAGTCGCCGAGAAAGAAGCTAAAGAAAAACTACTGGAGTTTCTCAGTAGAAATGCCTACATACCCGCTACCATAACTGTAAGTATAGCTTTAATGTTTATTTAAAAACAGAGTGATATATAGAAAGATGTATTCAGTCATTTATATAACGCTTAGTCATATATAATGTTATATAAGTTTGACTTATGCATCGTTCGTTTAACTTGTCGATAGCCTGTGCCAAATCTATTTCCCTCGACGCAAGTGCTTCCATCAGATCTACAAGCAGATCTTCAAACTCTGCAGTTGGACGCAGAACCTCTACCACCTGATTTAACATCTTATGATCTTATTGGCGACGGAGATGTCGATCAACTTTCATTAGAGATTGAAAAGGAACGGAGCGATTATTGGGAGAAAAGTAAGAACTTGCAGGAACAGCTACGGGAGTTACGTTCCGAAATTGAAGTTTTGAAAGTCGGTGAGAAGCAGTGCGAATTAGATCAACTGCACGAGGAGCAAGTCCGACTCGGTGAGAATAAGTACAGCACACTGAAAAAGGTGAAATCCGGATCTACTAAAGCTAGAGTCGCCTTCTTTGAAGAATTGTAGTTTTTGCAAAAAACAGATGTTGATAGACACCCATTGAATGTATGACTAGTAGTCATATAGCTAGTAATTGAATTTTGAAAAATACGATTATATAGACATACGTACATATGTAATACTCAAAAATGTGCTATATCACAGAGTGTTCCATCACAGCTGCATCAAATTATACTGTCACATTTCTCAACGAATTTAAATTTTTTAACAAAAACTTGGAAAAAATCTTTTATTAATATAAAAATTAAATATTGAATTTACATATTACAAATAACAAAACATTCCAGTATAAATATATGAGCGACAAAAATATTGAGAGCAAGTGATAGGAATCTAAGGGTGCTTTCCAGCAACGTACACAGGCGACACTGTGTAACACAGTGTACGACTCAGTGCTTTCCAACTACGACACAAGTCGACACAATCATACACAGCTAAAATGATGTGTTCATGAAAAATACAAACTTTTACAGCGAAAATATCTTCTGCGAGTTTAAATTATTATTACAAATCGTTGATCTTCTTTATGGCTGCTTAAATCATTGATATATGCACATATTGAGCATATAGATCGGAAACAGCGTTCCAGCTACAAGTCGATACTGTATAACACTGTGTCACACAGTGTATCACTGTGTTCCGTAGCTGGAAAGCATCCTAACTCAGCCATTGCTTTTTACCAATAAGCTATTTAGACTTTATGTATTAACTCTTGATTCTTCCAATCATCTACATGTATTCAAAATGACGCTACGCCTTTATTACGATTTGTTAATTTTAAGTGTTACAATAACAAATTTTATTTGAAACTATTTCAGTTTAGTATAACAATGGAATACTCTGTATATATAGAATATGTACATTTTATGCTATGATACAAAATGTTAGATAAATTTGCATGCATATAAATATTCAGTTGACATGCATATATGAATGTACTGCATGTATGCAAACAAATCAAAATAAATTTGTTATTTTCATATTTCACATTAAAAACAAATTCATATATACACATATATTTGTTTCACCGTGTATTATAAATTCCAATAGACATAAATATTTTGATATTATATGCATATATATATGTTGTGCCCACTTATTAACACATTGATTGCCACATCAGTCACAAGTGCCTGACACACAAATTTCCATTTACACTTTGTCGATCATATATGACTGACAAGATAGTCCATCTTTGATGTCTCTTCTCTTATTGATAATCCCTATATTTTATGTTTTTTACATTTAAATTGCTCTATTTATATGAAAAAAGTATCAAGTAACTATATTTAGTTAAATATCAGTTTGGCAGGACTACACATGTTAAGTTTATAACTTTGTTTGACGAGACACACAGTGATGATATAAAGTATCAGAAATGATTATATATTTTTGATGAAAGCATAGGTTGTACTTTTAAATTGTTATAAGTTTATCTATAGGGATTAATTAAGCCAATTAGAGTGCTCGACAAAAACTGTCATAGTTATATGCTTGCATATTTAATTTATAGCAATATAAATATGATTAGATATATTTATCACCTGTTTTAAACAAATATAATTATATTTTATACAGGCTGTACATGGAATATATACAATGTTTCATATATAACATTCTAATTATAAACAAAACATACACACACACATACACTTGTGTGTGTGTGTGTGTGTGCATATAAGAAATTCCTTTGTGGAATTCTTTTTCTTTTTTTTTCTTTCTCTTCATCCAAGTCAAACTTACATGTTATCTGTGATTCATATATACATTGTTATAAACTTAAACATTGGCATACTCTATTTCCGAGATATTTGCAAATATCATGTTGAAGTTAAGATTTAAACAAACGTACACTTTAACTGCTCGAGTTAATCGTGTTGTGCCTTAAAGTTATCGTGTTATGTGTCCATGTATACAAATCAATAATTTGAGTGTTGTACTACTATTGCATACATTGGATGCAATAAAAAACAATATGGACCAGTATTGTATATGACATAAGAAAATATTTGCATCTGTAAATATTGTAGTTTCGAACTATCCTGCTCAGTTATTAATCAGTTTTGAAATTTACATCGAGCATATTTTCTTTATTTTTAATTTAAAATTAGATTAGGAAAAAAATAGTAATATTAATTGGCACTTTTTATAACGCTCAGTATTTTAGATATGATTATTAATAAGTACTGATGCTTGAGTCTTATACGATATGATTACATATTTTTATCATCGCGCGATAATCGTATATATAATGACATTACATCAATTATTGATACCAGTGTATCTATCAAATAGTAAATATTCCCATTATATTTTTGGATATATTTATATTATTATTTAAATAAATTTTAAGTTGAAATTTATACAGATATAAAGAGGAATTGACATTTCATTGCACATAGAAACAAAATTGTTCGAAGCTACTAGAAGCTATAATGTATTTTTAAGAAAAAAATGTGCCTTATTATGTGTTATTTTAGGTAGTATTTCAATTTTTTAGATAGTGTGATTTGTACATAGTATACAATAGTCACTATAGCATGTTGACTATATTAGGAGCCCGATATTAAAAGGATGACGCACATTAACACATCTAAATTATGTATAAATCTTTTGGAATGTTATTCATTACTCTTCGACTCATTGTATGTTTTATTGGGTGCTTTCCATTTAGTGACTCAAGTCGACACGGAGTATCATTTTATCTTTGTTGTTCACTGGTATTGAAAGAAGATAGAATGATACTCTGTATCGCACTGTGTTGTTAATGGAAAGCATCCATTGTGTCATCATTTTGTTGTGTAACTCTGCAATAATGATATAATTTTCTGAAGATCTATATTACTTTATCTATAGTTAAGCTTGTAAAGATTATAAGTATATATATTAGTAACTGATTATATAAAAGTACCTTGCCATTTAATATGCTGCAAAGTGTCATAAAAGAATAAAATGTTATTTTGAGAAAAAAGTTAACTTTTTCTTCTACTAATACGTGTATAAAAGTATGATAATTCAATATCGCATGCACGAATAATTTTCCAAAACGATATGTTATATTAGTTATATAATTATGGCCAATCAGCGTTTATTTTTCGACTTTCTTTATCTCTCTATACATTATATATATATAATACATTATATTATAAATAGTATAAATTACGTATTTTTACATATATATATATATATATATTGTGAATTGTCCGCTTTGTGCTTTGGCCTTTACTCTGGAGGTAAGACGGAGGCGAGACGGCAACGTCACAATATATATAATTTTATTCTATATACAGACGTATTAAATCATCTTCTTTGGCAGGATAATGTGTTACCGGGCATCTCTTGTTTTTCCGTATTTCCGATAAAATACATTGATAGCAAAAGATGTAACTATAAAATTAAGTTAACTTAATTAATTATATTTTGTTTAAAAATAAGATAATAAAGATACATCAGTAAGTATTATCCACACACACTTACCCAGATACCATAAGCACTGTATGTATACGATGAGGTTTGCGACAAAGTGGACATATTCCTTTATATCGCTGTGCAACATTTGGCACCTATTGGAATAATATTATATTATTCACGGTAACTGAAATTATTTATTTGATTTTATATGGTGCAATTAATTATAAGCTGATTTATTTAACTAATTTTTACTTTTGGAGGTGGTGGAGCTGGAAGACTCATGATGTCCATATTGTAATTTTCCTGGCTCCACCATGAGAGAAATTGTAAGAAGAAAGCCCCCAATTCAAGAGATCCAGTGACAAATCTTTGAAATATGTTCCATCCATCGCCAATGGTGAATGAATTGTATTTTATCTTCCTCAATAATTCTGTGATAGTAAGAGCATTGTGTGGATCGGCGTATGTCAGTGTAACGGACAGCAATCTTAGCAAAGGTGATGGGTACACTGATTTTTTCGATATGTAAAGTATGTAATTATACAATACGAGCGATTCGTACGTTATAAAAAGAATTGAGTGTCCTTTAACAATGTATTTACGAAAAAATTTTCGCCCCTTCTGAATCAATATATTTAATATTATTAACAAGTTATTGCACAATACATATTTAAAAAGATAACGATTTTAAAATATACTTTGTATATTTTAAACTTGCCTCTCTTGATGCTCGACCATCTACTTCTTCGAGTTGATATCTCGAACTGAGTTGTGCAAGTTTATTTTTTAGATATGGAAATATTACAATTAATATCAATGACAGTATTTGTTGCTTATATGATAAGTTTCTTTTGAGTTTAGAATCGACGACTGCAACACGCTTTAAACCATAAAATGTTTCAGAAAATGATGCGGCTGAAAACAATGGATGAAAAAAAATTTTTGTTTTTACAGAAGAGTATATAAATTACAGTAAAATATTATTATTAACAATAATTAAATATGTTATTACAAAAATACTTACAATATTTCTTTAGGTAATATCGTTGAAGGAATGCATTAAAAATTAAATAACCCTCGTCTGCCCATTGAAGAATATGTTCATATCTTTCAGGATTGAAAGAAACAAGAAACTAAAATAAAAATTTAGTAAAAAGTTTATATATATTTTAAATTTAACATAAATAAAATTCACATGTACGATTTTAAGAAGAAATATAAAACATTATGGCTAATTACTATCCAATAAAAAACTACATGTGGAATATATTCGCAAATTCATTATATATTTACTGTATCATATTCCTGAATATTTTTTTCAAGAAATATATATTTGCTATGTATGAGAAATAGATATAATTCTCTGACAAACAATAATTGAAAGGAGCAATTGCATTGTTCAAGAAACATTTCAAAACAACATAATGTACCGAAAGGATCTTTTTAAAAGCTGGTTCGAGGGTAGACGCGAGCGATTCTTGCGCAATAATTTCAAAGATAGAAGGCCTGATGTACGCAGTTCCAGTCAAATGAGCACCCTTCTCTGCCATATCTCTCGTTTACATGGACATATACGTTAAGATCTACCCTTAGATTTAACCTGTTTGTCAAAGTATTAACTTCGCGCCGACCTGAAATGTATTATCTGTTGATGATTTCACCGTTTCTTTCGGAATAAATTATCTTGAACTTAATGCAACATTTCTATTTCATATGTTCGTCATGCTTTCGTAACGGCTACAAAGTTCATAACATCCGTCCTCTTCGCGGCAATTAGAATAAATAGATGAATTTGGACAAAAATCCGTCATTTCGGAATAAATTATCTTGAACTTAATGCAACATTTCTATTTCATATGTTCGTCATGCTTTCGTAACGGCTACAAAGTTCATAACATCCGTCCTCTTCGCGGTAATTAGAATAAATAGATGAATTTGGACAAAAATCCGTCAACGTGTTCTTTTCGCACATGTTAAGCCCGTTCTACATTGATCGCATGTCGCCAGTCGCAAGCAAATCGACCAATCACAGTCGAATATTCGACGGAATAATACTATAATTTGGGAATTGTTTGGGGAAGTTTAGAAAAATTATTTTAACATTTAGGAAACAATATTTTCTTTGTAATAATAAAAATTTATCGAGCGTCAAGTTAGCAGATCTTAATTATGTTTAATAAATATTATGAACGGAATCGATTAGAAATCATTTGGGAATAACATATTCATTAATATTTTTATTTGGGAAAGTCGCATTTTTATAATTTAAATAAATTTGTGTATTCAAAAATATGTATTATGCGTTATGCACGCGGCATAAAGGATTCAACAAATCAGAGTCCTTTATTTCTAAAATGAAAGATTCAATAAAATATTTTCATGTGCGCTGGTCCTTAAGAGCAAGCAAAATGAACAAGATTCAACTCTATAACATTATATTACGTATGACGTCGTCGGAATTGACGACGTAGATTTTATTATTTTACTGAA